TATATATATATATATAAAATCACAATTCAACTTTATAACCACCCTGCACCAGGGAATTGCTGATAATGTTAGACATTAGTAGGCAGGCACCACCCAAGTGGGCAAGACTATCAGCGAGCGTGTTCCTGAAGACACAGAGCAGCAGCAAACAAAGTGAAACATTTCCAGGGCTCATACTTCAAGAGCCTGCACCAACATAGGGACACAATTTAGCTAATGCGTACCAATTAGAAATTGTATGCATTATGTGACCTGCACAAAGATATATCGAGCTAATGCTGTAGCTGGAGATACCCTTTAACCACACACAGGAATACCGTTCTTACTCCTTGCAGATGATCATCTGGCATAACTTCAAAACTACTTACCCAACATCCTGACACAGATCTAGAACAAACTGCCCGGCAGTTCCAACCTTTATAAAATAAACAGGATCTTTCCCACCGGCACCCCAAGATTCCTCTATGTTGTTCAAGGCTATGCCAGATATTGCCAAGGGAGGTACAGGGTCCAAGCAGTGAAGCTTGAATGCCACTTACCTTGCCGTAGCTTTACCCCTTTCTGTATAGCAGAGTCTGATCGCCTAACACTAACACACACACACTGGCACCAATTGCAGGCTGGGGGGCGGCCCACGAAAGAGCAGCCTAAAATAACCGCATGCCCACAACTGACAGGTGGGATCCCAAAGTGACACTGTGTGTGTGTGTCCCCGTCTCACATGTTTTCTGTGTGTATGTACTACATGTTTGTATTGCGGACAGCACAGACGCTGGCGTGTACAGACCCGTCAAATCAGAGCTATGCAGGCCAAGAGCGCAGTACACATGGATTACAGACACAAAAACACACACACACACACACACATTAGGGACATGGATTATGGACACGCACATACATAACGCATCTGTTCCTGTTCAGCTTAAAACTAAAACCCATCAGATCAGAAGCTTCCACAACCCAACATCTAATTAAAGAACATCTGGCTGGAAGAAGCAGATCTCATGAAGGGGTTGAGAGAGACAATGCAGTGTATGAGAGATCCACAGAGACAACGCAGTGTATGAGAGATCCACAGAGACAACGCAGTGTATGAGAGATCCACAGAGACAACGCAGTGTATGAGAGATCCACAGAGACAACGCAGTGTATGAGAGATCCACATAGACAATGCAGAGTATGAGAGATCCACAGAGACAACGCAGTGTATGAGAGATCTACAGATACATTGTCTCTATAGATATCTACATTGTCTCTGTGGATCTCTCGTACTCTGCATTGTCTCTGTGGATCTCTCATACACTGCGTTGTCTCTGTGGATCTCTCATACACTGCGTTGTCTATGTGGATCTCTCATACACTGCGTTGTCTATGTGGATCTCTCATACACTGCGTTGTCTCTGTGGATCTCTCATACACTGCGTTGTCTCTGTGGACCCATAATAAGTATGTGCTTATCAGGGGCCTGATATCCACGTTTGTTACAGATTAGTGACTTGCCATGTAGTGAAGGGAGGATAAAGATAACATCCAGAGCTTGAACCTTTATAGTCAATAATGGAAGCCTCCATATGTCTAGACTCAACTAAACCCCACCCCCCAAAGCATCACCTCGTACGCACAAAACATGTTCTTGTGTAACTGGTCCCAACCTAGGTACAGTATATTAGGACAATGTGTAAATATGCTTACACTCATAAATTGTGTGGTCAGGAAAAAAGGTGCCTATAGGCCCAGCCCATTGTACCTAATGGCAAAACTAGCCCTGCTGAGGGTACGTAGGTATTAATCAAATCGGCATAAAGGGGACCACTTGCTGCATGGTTTCATCCCCTACCAGGCATCCTCCAAACATGGTTACTATAGACAATACATGAAAGAGAATTCTTGCATGAACATTGTGTCTAGACCCCAGCCACACAAAGCCATTGCTTCAATCCTCAAGATCATCCAGTCCTACTAACTTTGCCTGGATGAGGATGTCTATGAGGACCTCAAATCTCAGAAGACACTCTTGATCAATGAATGTCTCCTGAGATTTGAGGTCCCCATAGATGTCCTTATCTGGGCAAAGTCTGGATTGGATGGGGGTCTATTGGATGGTCTGGTGTCAAGACATGTTGATAGGACAGCATGTTCCCCTCAATTTATACACTTAAATAGCTGGATTGTTCTCTCCCAGTGCCATCTGTGGGCATCTAAGCCAGGGTTACTAAGACATGGCCGGAATGCTAGTGGATAATGATCTGTTTCCACCTAGTCCTAATTAGAAGGAGCAATGTTTATTTTAAACCTGTTTCCCCCTTTGGGGTAAATAGCGGCTAGAAAGAGTTATCCAGCACTCTTTGGCACTAGAAGCTTGTTTATGTTCCTCTTCCGCTGTCTACATGTATGGCAATACTAAGTACATATGTGTATATACAGTATTTGACATACATTTATGAGTTTACATAACACAATATAGCTACTCCAGTTTGCTTTGCAGATATATTGTTTGTTACATGTACCTTTGGTAGACAACTATGTTGTAGGACAAAGATTACATAAAGCGCATTGCTGGTGGGGCCTGAGGGCGGGCTTGAGAACATTTGGTGCAGATTTAGGGGGAAGCTAGTGCCCTGACAGTTTGCAAGACCTAGGCTGCACATGCCAAATCTATAGTATAATCAACAATTTGACATACAATCCCGACCCCCCGAATCTATAGTGCCATCTCACTTGTGCTTGGGGTGTAGGAGGAGGTACGGTTGGTCCCTTGGCTCAGCGCAGGTGATGGAGGGGGCATGGTGGGCGGTGTGGTCCTCGTCTGGGTCTTCACATCAGCCGGTGAGTCTGGCATTGTAATTTGGGTATCGTGTGAACTGCCTGTGAAGAGGAAATAGAAAAGAAAGAAAAGCTTCACATGAGCCCGGCCACGCACAATAACAGGTTCACTTTATAATATATGAGATGACAGAGTGTGCCAGGCCAGGGGGCAACCCAGGATGGAAGGAAATTACCATTCAGGTGGAGAGGGTACGGGTGATGGAAGCGCAGGACGGAGAGCAGCAGTTAAAGCTATTCCGAAACACCTGCTGCTGGGATCAGCTGTGGGCTCCCCCCTTGCCCTACCTCCTCCTGCCACGCTCTACTATTATTAACCCTTGCCTAGCTGGTCGCTCCCTCTTCCTCTGCCAGCAACGAGGTCCGCAGGGTTCACTGCAGTTTGAGAGCTGAGGACAGGTGTGTGGCAGCTGCTGAGATACGTCCCGCTCTTCAATGTAACTCCAGCCAAGACCAAAGAAGGGAACGCAGGGCAGAAGACAGGAGGGAAGGAGTCTGCCAGGGCCTGCTCTGTGCCTTAACCCCTTCCGTGCCACCCAAAAGCACAGCTTTGTAGGGTTCCTCGACTCTTTTAAGTAGACACACACACAGCCTGTCCTGCCACAATACCCTGGTGTGCCTCTCTTTCCTGCGTACGCCCTTCTTACCAGGACTCACACACACCATATGGGATCGCATCCCCAGTGCCCCCTCCTGGTGCCACAGATAAGAGGCTCCCTGTTATGAGAAACACTTTTCTTAGACGCTGGGTTTGTTATTGCGCTGTGTTTTTGACAGGTCTTGGAAAACTCCAGAGCTCCCAGCCCTGGCTCCAGCCAGGAACTCTCCTCCTCTCTTCGGATTATTTTTATTTGCTCGCTAATGGGCTGCAGCTGGACGCTTGTGTGAAGCTGACATCTGGAGTCCATCACCAGCACGGGCATCCAGGCTCACGTCTACACAATAGTGCCAAATGCGGAGACAGGAGTGGGGTGCCAGTTGAAAAACAGGGCATTTTGCAGAGCAGGCACAGGCTGACTGTACCGTGCCATGTGTTCCCAGCAAGCCGTGCTCACTGAGGGTCCTAATACAGGGTGACAGGGGACTCATATGAGTGACTTTTGTTTAAAGTGGACCTGTCACCCACTTTAGATAGTAAAAAAATAAAAGTTCTGCCTCAAAGCAAGCACCATGGGGTGTCTACTATGCCAAGGCTGGCCACACACCGGCAGCATTTATTTTAATAAACATAATTTTCGGAAAGTTTGTTGGATTTTCTAATAATTAATGGGGTCAAATCGATCAATTCGGATAAATGGGTTTACTTTTGAGAAAAAGTAAGGAACGGGAAGAAATTGCTTCTCAGACGGATACAGTTATAACAGTGGCATCAGTAGGGAGGTACGGGGAGTGCGGCCATTTGGAGGGGTGACACCAAAATGACTGACAGTCATTTGGTGTCACCCCCTCTGAAAAGTCAGGCACTCAGTCATGGACTGAGAGCCCGACAGTTGCACGAGAGAGGAGGGGACCCGGCAGCATACGTTATCCTGCCGGGTGAATGTCCCCTCCTCTCTCTGCCGGGGCCCATCACCAAGTGGAAGAGGGCGCGACCAGCTAGGCATGCGCGATGACGTCACGGCGTCACCCTGTAACCGCTCCGGCGGACACCAGGCCTCGGGACGCCCCTGAATTATAACAGTGAATGTGGTTTTCGTTCGGGAAACTCCGTTCATATCCAAAATCAAATGTTAAAATTGGACGCAATTTCGAATGACATTCATCAAATCCCTGATGGCTTATCAGATGTTCTCACTGGATGTTTCTTATGGACATTAATACGAAAATCTACCACTGTACGGCCAGCTTCACTATTGTTAGCCCAAAAAACTCTTACAGCCGCCCCTCTGATGCTGGCTTCCCTTTAATTCTAGAGGTTCAACTTCATCCTCCAGCCCCAGTGGCCATCAAGCAACTCTCATTGGATAAAGTTCAGGCAGGTGGGTGGAGCTTAGCCCACAAAATCAAGGAGGTCAAGCTCCTGGAAAGAAAGTGAAACCGCCATCAGAGGGGCACACATTGAAATGCTTTCTGGCTAATAAAGGCACATGCAGACACCTGGATTAAATGGCTGACAGAGTTGCTTTAATACTCCAGACTTATTAGGAAATATGAATGCTACAGAAAGACTTAGATGACACCACAACCCAAACCACCAATTACAAAGTTGACCACAGGAACCACATTACTGGCTGCGAAATAGTAAAGGAACACATGCACTGTAGTGATCCATCTGCACCTGCTGTGCTATATAGCTGCAAGGCACAACGAGGGTGACAACGATTTTCACATCACGTTAGTGACACCCACCCTGAGCCATCATTGAGATGGACAAAAATGGTGTGAAAATAATCGTTTTTTGTAGAACTGACTCTAGATGAATGAACTCAGAATCACAAATGTATTAGGACTGTTACCCCCAGTCTCTGGATTTCTGAGGCCGGACTAGGAATTCTGGTATGTATAGCTAGAGGCACTGGAAAATAAAGGAAGCCAACCTACTTGCCATTAGCCACTCAAAATATCAGTTTTGGGGTGAGCTGGTGTTTTCCTAGGAATGGTCAGTGCTTATCACAGCCATGAACCAGATGCTGATACTGAAAAGCTTTGATCAGGTAGCTGTGGGATGCCCAGATTTGATATAAACCATTATTAAACAAGACCTCTGCTGGCTGTAGGTCAGAATATCTTTAATTGCAGGCTATGAACGCCACACGTAGACTTTTTTTAAGATTCCACACTCTTGGATTGTTATAACAATGCAGCCTTATATCAAATAGCGGAATAGCTGTGTGTGCTGGTATTCATCTGTATACTCTCCCTTTCAGAGCAGACATGCCAGTCCAGTATCAAGCTGTAGAGCCACAGCAGAGGACGACTACTCTCCTACCTGAGATGAGGGGTGATAACTGGCAGTTTTTGGGCTGCTGCAGCCTGGGCGCTGGAAGAGAAGGTGTGTAAGCAAGAAAGCATTGAGAGAACCTTGTCAGTGTGGGTAATGTTAATACCGTGTTTTCCCGAAAATAAGACACTGTCTTATATTTTTTTGGGCTCAAAAAAACACACTAGGTCTTATTTTCAGGGTAGGTCTTATTTTTTTTATATGTAAAACAATCCAAAATGAATGCAAATCCAAATTAAATAATCCAAAATGGCATAGTTAAGAATAGGGTGATCAGGGCAATCAGGGGTGCCTTTCAAAGAGCATATTGGTAACCAATCGCTGGCCAGAATGAGCGAAGCGCGCTTTCACTATGGATTCCTCACAGGCGGAATGCATTTGGCATCACTCCGCCTGTGACAGAAGCCAGCGCTATAGAGGAAGCATCGGCTTATGGGGCTCTGCTCCCTCCGCTGCCGCCTCGCTTCCTCTAGCGCTGGCTTCGTTGGCACTGCTGATTCTCTCCCGCGGCTCTTCAAGTTTCCTTTTATGCCGCCACCGGCCCTGGGAAAGGTCAAAACTAGGTCTTGTTTTCGGGGTAGGTCTTATATTTTAGCAATTCCCAAAGATAGTACTAGATGTTATTATCGGGGTAGGTCTTATTTTGGGGGAAACAGGGTATATGATCCGGTAAGCAGGCAGGGGCGGAGAGGTCAAGCAGGAAACTGCAGGATCTGACAAGTGGGGTCACCCTGTGGCCACATTGTGTGGGACAGGGGTGTGAATCAGCAAGGCAAACATTTTGCAGGTAAAATAGCTCACGCTATGTAATTCAGTGTTTGTACTGAGCTTTTTGTTTATTGAAAACACTGGGTAATATTTTGGATAAATCTGATCAAGTTAATCATTTGTAAGGGATACCTTGATTTTTTTGTATTATTATTATTTACTTGTACAGTGGTACCTTGGTTCACAAACGCTTCTGTTCGCGAACAATTCGGTTCACAAACAGGAAGTTCACCAAAATTTGCCTCCGTTCGCGAACTCCGCATCGGGTGACGAACACAACCGCAGTCATCTTCCCTGCTCTGACAAATGGTCGTGGCTTCCTCTAGTAGGGATCGCGCTCTGATCACAATTTGATTCGGTTCACAACCAATTCAGTTCGCGACCAGAATCGCGGAACTAATTAAGTTCGTGAACCGAGGTACCACGGTATTTCCTCCCTGTCAGGGCAGAATTGTCAGGTTCTAAGGCTGCACCAGCCCTAATAGTGTCAGTTAGGTTTTTGTTTTTTTACCTGGAGATAGTCTTTAATGTTTTTAAATATATAGACAGGTTAGTTTCGATCTTGATCACAATTTACTATTGTATCTACAAAACAAAAAAACAAACAAACAAAAACCCCTCTAAGCAGGAGATGCAATGAGGAAGCAGCAAAACCAACGGAAGAAGAGAGACAGTATTAACGCAGCCAGGAAAAGAGAAAGAGGAAGAGAGGGCGTGAGAACTGGTGATGTAGGGGGGACATGCAGCCGCCTGTCACAGGGTAAAAAACAAAAAAAAAACGACAAGTCGGGGAGCGTGGGAGGAGAGCAAGGGTTAACAGGCTACCCCAGCAGTCCTGTCCCCTGCTCTTTAAATGGCTGGAAATGCAGAGCAGATGTTGGGAGGCTGATCCCAGCCAGAGCCAACCCTGCTCCTAAATAAAGTAAAGTATTCCTGAAATTCAGTGCTGAGCCCCGCCAAGAACAACTCCAGATAAGACCCTGAGACACTGGGCTCCATCTGGTCTCTGTTATGGAAACACTCAGTGCAGCTGGGAGCCAGAGAAAGGCTTGAACAGGGACTGAAAGAATGCACATCTTGTAATGGTTGAAGCTGAGCAGTAAATAGAAAGACTTAACATCTAATCTACATAACGCCACATGCTGACCTCAACTATACCATGCTGACTGCAAACGATGCAAGCTGACCTCCGCACTAATAAGTACCTACAGGGCCTAACAGCCCCTTGTCTGTTGCCTGCAGAGCTAAGTATACCTTCCCCAACCCTATGAAATATGCCTTTTAGTGTGGCATATAAATATTCCACGTGCAACAGAAATGAAGGTTCA